GAGCAACTTCTGTTACAAAGAACAGTTTCATGAGAGTGCCAATAAAGGCAGCGTGCTTTTCAAGTGGGAGACAATTTGAGACAGGATCTTTTGGATCCTGGTGTCCTCCAACTCACAGTGATCATCTTGTCTTAGCCTCCCATCAAGCAGAAATAGAGCTAGGTTATTCCAGTCCTAGGGCTTGAATATAGCACCGCAGGCTAAGCAAATGCTCTACCACTGTGCTATTCCCTAGACCCAATTGAACAGTCTTTTTTAACTCTCATAACAGACGTGGCAAAGAAAATTGGCAACATGAAGCCCAGATGTCTTTTCAGTATGAAAACCATGCTTCAATGGCACCTTGCCACCTACCTATTTAAAACAGATTTCATAAAGTAAGATAATTCACACAGAAAAAGCGAAGACTTGGAAGAACACATCCCAGGAGCAAATAATGCCTGGGGTCACGAAGAGATTGGGGAAACCCTAAATGAGTCAACCCTGTGGACGCTGTTATGGTGAGTCTCCTCTAACATCCCTGAAGAAGAAGCAGCTGCCACACATGGAAATCGCTGGGGTAGCTTTTGATCTCAGTGTAAAGAAAATGTTTCCAGCCAGTGTTCTCACTTGTTTCCTAGTGCTGTGATGAATACCATGAGCAAAAGCAACCTAGGGAGGAAAGGGTTTAATATAGCACAGTTTACAACTCATCATATCAAATAACCCAGGACTAATTACAGGGGTGACATTGCCCATGGTGGGATAGGCCCTCCCACATCAATCATTAGCCAAAGAAAGTGGCCCCACTAACTTGCCTATCGGCCAATCTCAATTGAGGTTCTCTCTTCCAAAACGACTCTACCTATGTCAGGCTGACAAAGAACTGGCTGTCACCATCAGTTACAATATCTAAACATAGAGTTGCTGGGGAAATAGTAAGCTCATGGACCCTTGGGCTTTTTCAAATGCAGACCAGCTAAGAAGAGACAAGACTGAACAAGACACTTTAGTGGACCCACTGACTTTGACAGGTCTTCATGACTAAGGTTTTGAGTCTTTCACTTCCAGCAAAAGAAAATCCAAAGGATTTCCTGTATCTACCCAGAGGAGAAATTGCCTATCATGAATAAATGCATTTTTTATTGCTGTAGGAGACATGTCACATCAGAAAACAGGTTCAGTAACCTGACTTATCCTCACATGCTCTAAGACCTGCCTGGCTTCCCTTGTAGGCTCTGTGGTAGGATGGAAACTGTTTTCTCTGACTGGGTTCTTCCCCTTACTCGGCAGCTAGATTTTGTAGGGAAATTAATGAATCTAGCACTCAAGGTAATCAATCTTCTTTGAGTTTTACAATTTCAGATTAGGCAAATCATGCTGAATCCATGAATAAATTTCCATTTCTGGCCCAAAAAGCTAGGAATCAACCTCTGGAACTTAGTGATCCTTCTTAAAGCAGCCATGTCTATGCTGTGTTATCAGACAGCTGGTACTGTGTCTCCTTGCCCTTGAATTCATAATTATATTAACAATTATTATAGCTGTGACAACTGAGAAGATAATGTAACAAAATGGATTACTAAAAAACAGAACTAATTTTGCTTTAACTTGATCCGATTGTTTGCTACTGTAGACCAATTAAGGAATAAAAAGCAATAGGCCACCTTTTCTGGGACATTTGCCAAGTCTTTCTAGAAGTTAAGGACCTAGATATTGCATGTGTGAAATATTCCTTTTGTTTGTGGGTTGGAAAGGGGAAATCCGGTGGATTCTTAGGGACTTGAAAAGACAAGAGATAGAAAATATATAAAGTCCACCCTGCTCATCCCAGTCCCTTTGAGCTGGCAGACTCTTGAAGGCAATGAAGCTGTGAAGCCAGAGTGGTATGACTACTATGGTTGGGAGCCTGCAGGAGGAGCCTCTAGTTTCCCCATTTGAATGGACCCCTGTGCTCCAGAATCACAAAACTGGTCTGCCAACTGCCTCATCTCTGGAAAATCAAATCAAAATGAGACAGAGGGTGGCGGGGGAGGGGGGATTGGGAGGGTGGATGGAGCACCAACTAGGACACTGGCACCCCAATAGTGACACCATGTGGTCAAAATGAGCATCAGCAGCACAAAACCATGAGTAAAGTCTTCAGCGCAAAGCTGTCAGTCTTGTGGAGAGGGGTGAGGTAGCAACCACAGCCACTAGAGCATTGGAGGCTGGGCAAGTGCTGCTTTGGGAGCAAGGAAGAGCAAGGTCTAGTCCTGAAACTGGTGTGCCTTGCTGAGCTGTGCAGGAGACGAGACTGAGAGTGCATAGCTCAGTGAGATAACAAAGGCTCAGTATCCCTCAAATGCTCAGAAGCAGAAGTCTTCTGGATATCGCAGTCTTCCCAGATTCTGCAATAAAGCACTTGCATGTGCATACAGTGAGAGCCCTTAGGGCTGGATCCCGAGCCCAAATGTGTATGTGTCCATGCACTTGATACACATGGCCTGAAGGGAAGTTTTGTGTGAAACATTTAGTGCGCCTGCACTCCCGTACTGACCTGCCACATGGGGTCAGGAGCGGAATTCTCCACTTGTGGTAGCCACCATTTCAGTGCTCAGATTTGGGGGGCCTATCACGAGGACACACAGCAAGAGACAGAGGGGCAACCTCACAGAGGACTTTAGGCAAAGGGTGAGTGACACCGAGGGCATGAGTCAGGAGTCTGCTGTGGTCAGACTGGCAGTCTAACCCTGGCTATGCAAAAGAAGGCCTCAAAGGGCCACGGAGAAGAGCTTTAAAGGGGAGCCATACTGTTGAGATCGAGTCCATGATAACTGTTTCCTAATGGCAGGGAATGACAGATTCATCTAACCAACCAGAAAGCTCAAGTTTCTATGCAAAGGATGGTGCAATTCATTAATAAAGAAAACTCAGGAGAGGGAAAGATTCTCACTATACCCGGCAGGGCCTGCCACATAGTAGGCATTCAATAAATGACTGTTGGTACAGAACGGAACATAATCAAAAGTTACAAAGGAATACAGGAGCTGGGGAGATGGCTCAGCACTTAGAGGCATGTGTGACTCTTGCAGAGGACCTGGGTTCAGTTCCAGCACCCACATGGTGGCTTGTAACCATTTGTATGTATCTCCTGCTCCAGATAATCCCATGCCCTCTTCTGGGTTCTATTGGCTTCAGGCATACATGTGGGGCACATGTACACATACAGGCAAAAATACAGAAAAATAAACTTTAAAAATGTTTTAAATTAGAAGACAGAGTGCCAAGGTTGGCCTAGTGGGTAGGAGCATATGTCATATAAGCCTGATAACCTGAGCTCAGTTCCCACAGTGGAAGACAGCAACTTCTAAAAGTTGACCTCTAACCTCCACACACGTAGAGTGATGAAATGCATGTGTTTGCTTTTTTCTTTTTTAATATGAGAGAAAGAAACTTCTAGAGTCACTGGCAACTTGTGTCACATGGATGACATCGGAGAGCATACTGTCCCTCGATCACTTGCACATCATTTGTGTGTGCCATCTGATCCAGACACACGCACTGGTGTCCCCCGTGGCACATTGCTAGATATGTAGGCCAGTTGCCGTCTGTACCCCAGAGGAAGATGTCATGAGCAACTGTACTTCTGCCCCACCTGGCCAAGCAGAGAGAAACGTGGGCTACATCAAGCAGCAGGCCTTCCACATAGCCCAGCAGGGTTAGCAGATAACCCTCCCCTGACGTGGCCGCTGGTATTGTGACCGGGCTTGTGCTGGGCATGAAAGGGTCCACAAAATGGTGGTGAGCATTTGACTATTCCAGAATATTTCCAAGTCCGTGGAAGCTGACATGATGTATAGCTTTAAAGAGGAATTGGCACTGCGGTTATTTCTTCTATTATGAAACAGGTACAGAATTAACACCCCATGTTATTCTATGGAAATGATTTGTTTTTAAATTTTTTCAGTGGGGGCTGGGGGGACGGCTTTTGGCCTGAAGGGAGGCATATTATGGTAGCAGGCATATCTGGATGAGAATGCTCACTTCACAGCATCCAGGAAACAGAGACAGGCAATAAAGTGTCCATCTGTCTGTGCACACACCCAGCGACCTACTTTTTCCAACTAAGACTTACCTCCCGCTTTTCACCGTCTCCCAATAAATGGTGACACATTATGGATCCATCAAGGACTGAATCCATTTATTTGATCAGAACCCATTCTGCTACAACAAAAAAAAGGAAGGAAAGAAGGAAGGAAGGAAGGACGGACAGACAGACGGACAGACGGACGGATGGAAGGAAGGAAGGAAAAAACTTGCAACCAAGCTCACAGCAATGAGTTTTCAGGGGACATGTCAGATTCAACCCCTAACAAAAATCTAAAAAGCATCTATATCCTACTGTTATTTTATTTTTTGCATCGACATGAAGACTGTGGAATTACATTTCACACATGAGGTCAGTTCATTACACTGTCTTTGTAAGGATGCTCAAACCTAAGTGGCCTAGACTCAGCCTATGAGGTTACTCATTTGTTTTTGAAAACAATGAGTGGTTTGTGTGTTTTATTTTTGGCAGGAGAACATAAGTAGACCCAGGGCTACTTTTGGATTGCTTTTCAACTGCGCCCCACCCCAACGGTCTGGCTTGTGTGTGGCCTCTAGGAGAGACCTCAGCGTGAGCATCCGACACTAGAAGCAGGAAGAGTGGAAACAAGACTGACGAATGCACCCTGTGAAACTCAACTCTGATAGGGGGGCAAGAGCTAAATAGTTAACAGCAACCGGGCATTTTCATCAAAGAACAGCACAGCACCCTCCACCCCATCAGGACCCCAAACTGCACTTAGATGTGTGTCCCCACAAGGAAAGTGTTTAAGCAGTAAGTGGCCAGCAGGGTATGTCTCCGAGCCAATGGAGGAGATTCAGGGAAAAGTGAGAAGCATTTGCCTCTCCACCAGTCCAGGCTCCACCGCGCTTACTCCTCCCACTGCCCTCCCCACCCCAGCCCATCCTCGCCCTTTCGCATGGACTCCGGGTTAGATGAAATTACTTTTATTGCGGTGACTAAATTAGGTTGAAAGCTCCTCTTTCAGAGGCCACAGGGTACCAGACTGGAAGGCCAGGAAGGGAGGGTCGGAACTGGGCAGTGGATGCAGGATTTTCTCCTTATTTGGGTGTAAGTGCTGCACTCCTTAAGGATTTATTTTGGGACAAGGCCTAAACCCCGAATGGGGCAGGCAGCTCCAGCGATCAGGCTGCACTCTCTATTTGAAGCACAGGCCTTTCAGGATCTTCCTTAGCCTGAGGAGGTTCTGGCTCCAGGGCAGACTCTGGTGAGGACTCCTCCGGTGCAGCTGGTAGAGCTACAGGCTGGCCATCTGGTGGGCCTTCGGAACTCCGGACAGGCCCTAGGCGTGGCGGCTTGACTGGTGTGGGTTGTGCTTTACGACTGGATAGGGCCCTTCTTAGGCTCTGGACCTTCTCCAAGCCGGTGCGTCGCAGTCGCTGAGCCCTGGACTCCACTGGCTCCTCGTCGGAACTCTCTCCAACTTGATCCTCTGGCTGCTCTGGGCCCGGCACCGACTGGTCCTCGGGGCCCAAGAGTTCTGGTGCTTTCTGGAAGGCGCGGGCTGGAATTTCAGTCTCGTCCTGAATGTGACGACACAGCTTTTTGATTCTGGCAGGCACTTAGCCAGCACCAGCCTGAAACTCACTCCCCGCGGTTACACCAAAGGAAGCTACTCCACCCTTTGCCTTGGCACCAAGAATTGGACAGATGAGAGGAGTGGGAAAGATGGGGCCAGGAGCAGAGGAATGAGCAGGAAGGGGGAAAGTGGGTTGCACAAGTTTGCAAAGTAGATGAAAGCTGTAAGGTATGGAAGAAGGTAACAGCTCTATGGGCCCTTGGAGGAGGTATAGAAACATCACAGCCGTTATTTTCATGTGGTTGGGACTGACCAAATCTTCAGACTGGTCTGAGTTATAGCGAGGAGGGCGTGGATTAGCAAGGCTGTGAGTAAGAAAGGGATAAGGCCACGATGCGGGAAGTCAGAAGTGGGTACGGCTCTGAGAGTTTGTTCCACAACTGAGGGCGGGCACGTAGGGTCAGGAGGTGGTGAACCGGTGGAAGGCGGGAGTCCCTCTAGGTGGTGGTCTAGAGGCGGGATGAGGGGGTGCCTAAGGTCACTGACCTTGAAGAGCAGGACGTGCAGCTTCCCGCGCGCCACCAGCAGCCCGTGGTTGGCCTCCAGCCGCTGCACCTGAGCAGCACGGCGCAGCGCCCGCTCCTGGGCTGCGTCGGCGTGAGAGCCCACGCGCTCCGCCTTGGCCAGCAGCTGCGCCAGTGTGTTGCTGGTGGTGTCGTGGCTGCGACTCAATGAGCCCAGGCCGCTCTGAATGCGGCGCACCGAGCCCGCCAGGCCGCCTTGCCTCTCGGCCAGGCCACCCTGCCGCTCCCGCAGCGCCTCCAGCATGGTGGCCAGCTTCTCCAGCAAGGTCACCACGGTGACGGCGTGCACGGGACCCCCGGCAGGCGCCCCGGGCACAGGCCCAGACTCCAGCGCGCTCTCCCCCATGATCTCGGACAACCCTGCCTGCTCTCCCAGCGGCCGATGGCTGCGATCTGGGCTAGGGCCGCCTTTCCCCGCCTCCTCCCCAATTCAGGCCGTGACTCAGCCGGGCGGAGTTGGGATCTCCCGCGGTGGGAGAAGGAGGAGGCCGAGCAGGGGGCGGGATGTCCGAAGGGGGCTCTTTTGAGGACTCCGTCCCGGGATCTGCGGGGAGGCAGGCTGGTCCAGAGGTACCCCGCAAACCCTTTCCCCCCCCTATTAGCTCAAGCTCTACATTCGTCCATTTCCGTGGGGGGCCTCTTTCAGGCCTATGCTCTCCCACAGCAAAGGACAAACCACTGAGATTTTCATTTCATGCATCAAGTGTTCAGATTGTGTGCTGGCGGGGGTCGGGAGGATTAAAGGAAAGAGGCATAACCTAAACCTTCAATGCTGCTGAGCCCCACGCTGGGCGGAGGCCTGGGAAGCTCGGAATGTTCTGCGACAGACCCAGGAGTGCCTAGGCCCAAGGCAGGGCTTTGTATGGAGGCGGGCTGGGCGAGGCATGCTCTGATGTTTTCCACGTTTAGCCTCTGGCTTCGTTTAACGCGGTCTCTTCCTATTGGTTTGGGTTGTCCTATTTTGGGCTTCGTAGGGAATAGCTCAGCTGTGGGTTGGAATAAGAACTCTTGTGATTTAATGGAGGTTGACTGTGGTCCCTGCCTAGAGCCTTCACTCCCCTGTCTCTAAAACTGGTACACACTGGGGTGGGAAGATCACCGGTTGGAGACCAGCATAGAACACACATGAGTGTTATAGAGTGAAAGGTCGACCCCTGATTTCTGATTGTGAAACTTTTGGGTTTTACTATTTATATTGGACTCGGGTTTGCTCATGTTGGACCCCAGAGTACTGGAGCCATCTAAGCCTGATAGGAACTGAGAGTGTTTGTTTGAGACAGGGTTTCGTGGAGCTGGAGCTGGAGCTGGCCCTGAACTCACTGGTCAGCCTTGAACATCCATCCTCTTGCTTCCATCACCCAAGTGCTGGGATTACAAGTGTGCACCACCAAGAGCAGTTTGTGCTGGTGCTGGGAATTGGCCCCAAGGCCTGATACACCCTAGTCAACAACCCTACTCACTGAGCCACATCCACAACCCTGTTTCTGTGTTTCTGAGATAGGGTCTCACTGTGTAGTCTAGGTCTCAAGCTCAAAATCCTGTCTCAGACACCTGAGTGTTGGGATAAATATACAGCACCACACCCATTAGCTGGCTGACCCATTAGCTGGTTGGTTAACTGCAGCATTAAGGATAAAATCCAAAACCTCAAACATGCTAGACAAGTGACCTGCCACTAAGCCATACCACAGCCCAACAACTTGGAAATATGTGTATGTGCATGTATGTATGCACATGTATGTACAAAGGGTGTCAGATCCCCTCAAGCTGTCGTTACAGGCAACTGTGAGCTATATCCAGTGCCAGTGCTAAAATAGATTTCCCATCCTCTGTAAGAGCAGCAGGTACTCTGACTGACTGAGCCATCTCTTTAGCTTAGACCATATGTCTCGGATCACCTAAAAGATTACGTAAATGAATAGGGTTGAGAAAAACCTTAGTGGCCGACCCTAGACAAGTATAAGCCACAGTCTGGTCAGTCCTAACTGTAGAGGCTCGATGATATGGTTGATGCCCATCACCATCCATCACAGAGCTTGTGACTGGCATTCTTACAACCCAAGTCGGATGAAAAGGGCTTATAGTCTGTGATTTTACACCTGCAATCCCAGAGTAAGGATGATGAGTCAGGAAGAGTGAGACTAACCTGGGATCCACAGAGATTACAATGGCATACCACATTTGTGTAGTGAGGTTCTACATGGCACAAAGACCTCAAAAGTGAAGACACAAAGGGCAACTGTCTCATTTTAAACTTACGTTCAGTGAAGAATGGAGAATTACCCAGAGGTGGGATTAGACAAAGGGGTAAGGTCTGATAATAGCAGGCGAGAGAGGACCCAGCAAGGCCTGTCCGCTCAGAACTTTTTGATCTCTCTGTGCAGCATCTTTCTCCTGAATACAGAGCAGAATTCCCCTGCAACAAAGATGCTGAAAAAGAGGAGTGACCCTTCTAACTTCTGTGGGATTTTTTTTAATTTTTAAAAAGGATTGTGTGTGTGTGTGTGTGTGTGTGTGTGCGCGCGCGCGCGTGCACTGTACCTATGAGGACAGAGCCAGAGGCAGTAGATCCTCCTGGAGGTGAAGTTACAGGTGGTTGTGAGCCACCCAATGTGTGTGCAAGGATAGAAACTGCATCCTCTGAAAGAGAAGGAATGCTCTTAACTACCGAGTCATCTTCACACCCCATAATTTCTATGTTTTGTGTTAGAAAAGAATTGTGGTTTCTGTGAATGGCTTCAGGGGAGCTCAAGAAAAGAGGTGGCAGGAGACAGGCACCATGAGAAGATCGCTGAGGTCTTCCATTCTCAGTCAGGTCAAATTCTCAACATGTCAAAATACAGTGCTTTGTGGAATCATTTCCTGAGTTCCAACATGAAACAAACAAACAAACAAACAAAATTGAGGTCTCTGTAATTTCTCCCTCTCTCCCTAAGGTGATTTGTGAGCACAGACAAGAGGCCTAGAGGGAAAACTACAGAAAAAATAGTCTAGATTTTCAACTAACACAATGCCTTCAGCAACTAGGAACCACACTCCCCTGGAGAGAAGACGCAAGCTCGGTGCTAGATTAGTAATTCCCCAGTAGTCTCTGGGCTGTTCATAAACTGGAATTCTTCATGTCACATACCGGTGCAGGCTTAATGTTTCTGATTATCAAATGGAACAAAATCTTAGAAACAATGCAAGATAGCTAGATGAGTTGGCTCGGCATTAAGAACCCTAGTTGCTCTTACAGAGAACCCAGGTTCGATCCCCAGAATGCTCGTACACGGTAGTTCACAACCATCTGTAACTCCAGACCCAGGGGATCTGAGGCCCTCTTCTGACTGCCATGGAAACCAGGCACACACAGGATACACATACATACATGCAGACAGAATACTCATACACATCAAATAATAAGTAAATCTCAAAAGAAAATTAAAGAAATGTCTTTGGTCCTAGACATGAGTTTCAGATACCCAGATAAGCTAAGCATCCTTCAGGGACTTAACCTTTGGATTGGAAGTCATAGTACGAGCCACCACCAATCCTGAACTTAAACTTCTGAAGCTAAATGAACTTTCTGCCCCTGAATTGGCTTCCTCAGGTTTTTGGTTACAGCAACAGAAAGATAACACAGACATAGTTGCTTGTATATTTACCAGTGACAAAGATTTCCCCTTGTGTCTTAGTTACTTTTCTATTGCCGTCACAAAACACCATGATCAAAACAACTTACAAAAGAAAGCATTTAATTGGGGGCTCACAGTTCCAGAAGGTTCTAGAGCAGGGAAGAAGGCAGGCAGGTGTGGCTAGAACAGTAGCTCAGAGCTTGCATCCTGATTTACAAGCACCAGGCAGAAAGAGCTAACTGGGAATGGTGTGGGCTGTTTGGAACCTCAAAGCCTCACCCCCAGTGGCACACCTCCTCCAACAAAGCCACACCTTCTAGTCCTTCCCAAACAGTTCCACCAACTGGGGACCAAGCATTCAAATATGTGAGCGTATGGGTAACATTCTCATTCAAACCACCACACCTTGTAAATCAAATAATATATGTTTCTGTTCCTTTTCACCTCACTAATGCACTTATAGGTATCTGTGGTGGAGTCCTGCTAAATGTGCAAAAACACGAGTTTGTTGCTATCTTGAAGGCCATTGATTGTTTCGGGCTTTCTCATTGGCACATTTCTGGTGTTTTTTGTTAAAACGGACTCTCTGGACTGAGTTAACAGCTGATCTTTCAAGCCCTTTTCTATTTGCCATGCATTTTAAGAATTATCTGGTATAGAACTGTAGAGCAGACACAGCCTCAGGTTGGGCTAAAAGAAAATTAAAAGACCATGCCTAGTGCCATCCGTCTGTCTCTCCCAGAGTGAGCCAACCAGAAATCCAGAGCATCCAGTTCATAGGAAAAACCCCTACATGCTGTGCCCCCAACCACTGTTTTGATAGACAGCTGACTTCCCACTGTGGAATAACTTATCTATGTTACTATTCTTTTACTGGGAATTCCAGTAAGAGTTTCCAGCGGCCTGGGTGAAACAGACTCATTGCCAACCTATAAACTGGAAAGGGTGATTCATGCCAGATGCTAAGCAAGCATTGAGGAGTAGGCGTGTTATTTGGACCACGTTTTCACTCTTAGTTGTGGAAATGATATCAGAGATGTTTTGTGGTTATTTTAGTAAACTGCCCTAACAGTGAAAATGAAAGAAAAAGGAGATAAAATTCTAAGTAAGCTTTCCTCTGTGCCATCACGCCTAAATATGTAATTTTGCTGATCAATGCTGCAAATGTTCTTTATTATTGTCCATACTAAATGTCATAATTTCAAAAAGAGAAGTATGTCACTGTTCTAGAAATTAAAGTGACTAATACTGTTTTGTTTGTTTTCTACAAGAGAAAAAATTAACAGGGAATGAGCCTCAGTGGACAAGCACTACCTTCCCGTCTTTGTCATAGGCATCCTGCCTACGGAAGGGGAGGCCGCACCACACAATAGGGGGCTCTGCGCCACTGGCAGCTTAAATACTTTAAAGATTTGCAGTGTTTCCAGAAATTAAAGTACTCAAATGGCTAGCCCCTAGGTTGTTATCATGTGCCAGGAGACCTGGGAACTCCTTCAGTGACAAGAATCAGGCATATGTCTTACTCAAATGACTGTCTTCTGTAGGATTTTCTTTTTTCAGCTTTTATAGATTGAATATTATCTCTCAGAAAGATACGCATGAGTCTTCACTCTCAGTACCTGTGAATGTGATCTTACTTGGGTACTGGGCCTTGGCAGATAAAATTAAGTTAATGCTCTTAGGATGAGATCACCCTGAATTTAGGGTACACCCCTAGACTGTTGCCTTTATAAGGGAAGATACGGTGTCTCAGGAAAGGAGATGATGTGAAGACCGAGGCAGATGTACAGTGGAACAAGTCAAGGCCTGCAAGTGATGATCAGAGCCCCCACAAATTAGGAGAGGCACGTGGTTTGTTTGCATTGTCCTGCCCAGCTTCCTAGGGCATGCGGTGCTAC